TGACTGGGGCTTGTGACTCACAGGATTGCACCATCCCAGCCGCTAACTTGGGGCTGGAGCCCCTTCCCTCCACAAATACCTTGGGTTTGTGCATGTTTTCTGCTGGGTGGGATCAGAGGGCAATTTCTTTTATGTGTACATACGCTAAATAAACCTAATTTAAAAAACATGCATGTGTGGATCCTGTGCTGATTGGGTGGCTGGTATTCAGAATTCCCTTGAAGGTTTTGAATTCCACGGAACAGGATGGGTTGGAAGGTCTCTCTAGTCTGGGTAAGTGCAGGTAATTAAGAGGCAGGAAGGGAGCCTGTTTCTCACTACCAGGTATTGCTGAGTTAGTCTTCCTTACTGTAAGGGAGGGTTGGTGCTCCAGGCTAAACAGTACTAACAAATAATATTGCTGGTGGAGGCCCCATCCTGGGTTTTCCACTTTACACGGCCTCTTACGCACTTTTAAAGAGAGATTATCAGGTGCTGGTCTGAGATAGGGAAAGATGGAGATTCCTAACTTGTGGTGGCTTCTATTTATTGAGCTGTTATTAGCTCATACCTGTAGTCCTAGCTACTTGAAAGGCTGAGGCAGGAGGATCACATGATCCCAGGAGTTCAAGGCTGCAGTGAGCTACGATTGTACCACCATACTCCTGGGGAACAGAGATCCCATCTCAAAAGAAAAAGAAAACCTTGGATTTTTTTTTTTTTAATGTTAGATATGATGCTCTTGTAAAAAAAAATTTTTTAAATAAATATTTTAGGTAAGCCTTGGATTTCTTAACATATCCCAGATGTAACAACTGATGCTAAGCAGAGTTGGGAATTTGGAACAAGGACTAACTATAGAGCCTATGCTCAAGTCTGAACCACTATGCTTGCTGCCTTACTGCATACATCCGCACAAAGAGAAGCTGCCACATTTCTAGTATGTTAAGTATCCTTCCTGGAGTAGAAAATTCCAGGCTTTTACTAATCCCAGAAAAAGAACATCAATGTCCTTTGAGTTTTTTTTTAGAGACATGGTTTTGCTCTGTTGCCCAGGCTGGTCTTGAACAATGGCCTCTAATGATCCTCCCATTTCAGCCTCCCGTTACTGGGATTCCAGGTGTGAGCCACCATGCCCGTTTCCTTGGAGTATTTTTAAATGCCTGGTACTATTAAGTCTGCTGAGCACTAACCATCTGGCAAGCGTTGGGGATCATTCTAGTGGAGTTAGACTGCCACACTGCAGGACGAGGTAACTACCTGAACAGTCACTTTCCTGGATAAGCCTTGTCCTGGCTTCCCACACTCCGGCAAGTCAGTGCCCTCTAAGCCAGTTACTCTACTTCCTGCAGCTACAGCTATTTCTTTAATCTATTTTTGCCTATTTTATTAGGTGGCAGCAAAGCCTGCAGGCTAATCCTACCAACATGACTTGGCCAAACCTTTGTAGTTAAAGCAGAACATCAGTTCTGACCTGGAACATTTAGACCCCGCCCCCAAGCCAACTTTGGCTTGAATTACTCAGAAGAGTGCTGAACTATTCACATCTAATTCAGCATTACCCCTGCCTCCTAAGGATGCAAAACAATGCCTTTTGATGAACCTGGACTCATGTAAATCAAATCAATGGGCCCCTCCTAACACGGCCTCCTCCTAATACCGAGACCATTAACAAAAAACTAGAGCCCTTTCACACCTGGCTGGAAAGTTTCCTGTTCCAGAATATTCAGAAAAAAATCTGAAGTACAGATTACAAACACCCCAGTAAAAACCAAAGCGCCAGGCTAAGTGCCTGCCGCACGACACACTCAGTAGCAGGAACGTCCCTGGTCCTGATGGCTATGGAATTCTTGCCACTGCCATTTCAGTTAGCTGTCTGAGCCTAAAAAGCAGAATGGTGTAGCTAAAAAATAAAACCATGGACTTGGTTGGACTTGGATTTGAATGGTAAATTTTCCACTTAGCAACAAATTGGGCAAATTTCCTTACCGGTATAATGGGTATAATAGATACCATCTCAGAGCATCTGAGATGATGCAGAAGCACTGGCACCTGGTGTCACTTAGCAAGTGGTGCCTGCTGACTTTGGACTCGAAAGCCCAAGTGTTTTCCCTTAAGCCAGAATTGACATTTTGAAAAGCTGGTTAATTTTAGTCTGAATCGCAAATTTTAGGCCAAGGGTTCTCCATGCCTAGGAACCACCTGGGAGAACCTGTTGCAGAAAAGTGGACTCCACTCCTAGGGAATCTTACTCAGTGGGTGTGGGGTGTGGCCTACAAACATATTTCAATAAATATCCCAGATGATTCTGATATCAGAGATGCATTCTGAGAAGCACCTTAACATGCTAAGACAATCTCATTGTAACAGAGGAGCCAAGGAAGCACATTTGGGTTCCCCTTGTGAATAATGGGGCAAGGGATCTGAAACATGCTGTCTTCCAGGAGACAAAAGAGGTCAGCAGGCTCTGTATCGGTGGTTATTTTAAACTCTAGTAAGAACTCAATTTGACCAGTCTTGCCTAGCCCAGGGGTCTTTATGAGGCAAACCAGAGGGTAATTGGGTAAAACCACCTCGGTGGCTGGGACGGCTGTTAAGATGGAAATAGTGGTGGCATTTATCTGGATGCTCGGTCGCAGATGGGCTCCGTGTTCGGGACGGGAAGAACAGTAGTCAAGCCAGGGATGTGACTGGACCAGAATGGGGTGGAGGGGTCCTCTCTGATTTCATGGGCCTCCTCCAGGCTCTGAGACCAGCCGCTCCTAAAATCTCCCTTTACCTGGTTCAGCGACCCCTTCATTTGTGCTGCTTCTCTCACACAGGTGTTCCTTAAGCCTGCAGCCACCTGCACAGTGTCGCTTTCTCCTTTGCATGGCTTGGATAAACACTATTTCATAGCTGACCTACTCCCAGCCCCTTTTCTTTAGTTTCTCTCATCCGTGGCCTGACACAGTAGCAATTCAGTGTGTCACTCAGATTGCAGACTTAAAATGGGGCTGGCTAGATTCGGTTTGGGTAATGGACAACCACTGGGTACAGAGTAATATTGTGTTTAAGTCCAAGGTAAGCCATATGAAAAAGGAGGAGAATTAGCAGTTCCTGTGAAAATAGCCCCTGGGATGATTCTATCTTGCTATTTAAAAGAAGTTTCTGCTAAAAAGAAATAATTAAAATGCCTGTGCTAATCTTACTGAATTCCTAAAACAAGAGAATGAGAGTGAACGTGGCTCCCATCTGGTGACCCGCAATCCTGCTCTCTCTGACCCTATAATATTCTAGTTGCACCAGAGTATTTTTAGACTGTGGCCCGGGACCAGACTAATAAACTTACCTTTAGATGTGATCATAATTGGAAACATACGGTTCTCTGAGCGCCAGGTGGTGGCTCTGGACATGCCTTCCTTCACTGTGCCTCCTGACATCTCTCTGTCCTTCCCCAATGTCGAGAGTGACAGTGGAGTATCTGGTGAAGGTACTAACTAAGGCAGAGCACAGGTCCACCTCTCACCTCATAGGTGCAGTCCTTTGGGCGGCTCCGTATCAGATCCCCTCGCAGCAAGTTACTTGAGAACTGGGGCCACTTCCTCGTGGAGTAAATGCAGTCTATTCCTCTGATCAAAGTTTGGAGGGAACGTGCCTCTGAGGTCCAGCCAGCTCCTTGGCAGCCTTTACGGCAGGGACAACTGATGGTCACAGTCTCACCCTGGCATCCCAAGAGCTCTGTCTGCCCAGCCAGTTCAGCAAAAGAAAAGCAGCTTGCTGTGGGTTAGGTAAACTACAAACATAATTTATGGGAGCTCGACTCTTGACTTGGGCCGTAAGCAAAGGCTTCCTGTACTGCCAGGGTCCAAAATTCTTCCTCAGTCATAATTTGAAAATAAAGTGCTTTATTGCTGAGGATCCCAGAGAGCTTCAGGACAGCTGTCTAGGGGCTAGGACTGAAGTCCCCTACCTTTGGTGGCTTTTGTGAACAGGGACAGTTGGGACTTCAACATTTCAACCCCGCAGAAGGCAAGGAAGTATGGCTTGGGGATGAGGGAAGGCAGGGAAGAGGCACGAAGTGTGCTGGTAGAACATACTATGCGTGTCTCTTCCCAATTCTGAGTTCAGTGCATTTGGTGATGTTGGGAGCTTGAAATGGGCCATTGCTGGAGTGTTTACAACACAGAGGTTGCCCAAATGCTACAAATTTTCCCTCCATAGAGCTGGTGACCATCGCTACAGGTGCATGACACACCATCCCGAGCCGGTTCTGAGCCCACCTGCTGTGACAAGCGGCAACCTTCCCACTCAGGGCCAAGCTAGCTCCCAGCCCCACACATTCCTACAATCTGGGCAGAACAGAGGGGCCTGAACAAAGGAAAGGGACCAGAACTGCTGACCCACTCCCTGCCTGGAGTCAGCCTCGCCCCAGCTGTCATGGTGCCCACCAGAGGATGGCTTGGGGCTGAGGACAAGCCTCCTGTGCAGTGGCTTCTGGCAGGGCGTGGGCAAGAGGGGTACGTGCACCACCTGGAGATGGGGAGCGATGGCCACAGGGTGGAAGTCAGCCCAGCAGAGGGCAGCTGTAATGATGAGGACTGGCTATCCTATCGTCCCCCTTCCCCTCCTCGTCTGAGCGATTCAGGCAGGTCCTGAATCAGGGAATCAGGATGTGTCCTGTGTGCAGAGCCAGGGCAGGAGAGCCCAGCTCCGAAGGAGACGGAGAAAAATGTGTGGCCAGCCGGGGACAGCATCTCCCAGCAGGCAGGAGAGAAGGCCCTGCAGACACTGAGTGCACACGCACTTCCAGTGCAGCCCCAGGGGACTTGGGGGCTGGGCTCCCTCCCTTCACCCTGGGCCCTATACCTGCTTCAACCTTCTGCCCAACTCCACCGTGACACCTGAGGCCCTGACCTGCCTTGGGGTCATGGGCAGAGGGCACGCAGCACGAGCCCAGCCTCACCGGGCCTGGGCAGGGGCAGGGGTAAGACGGCCTGCAAGGAAAGCTCTCCCTGCAGTCTCTACCCAGCAGCCCCCCATCAGTACTCCTTGACCTCCTGCAACTGGGCCAAGTACTCCTCCTCCGGGGGGTTGTCAGTGCAGGCCCGGCCGTTGTTGGGGGGCCGTACGGCGTGGTAGCGGCTCCAGTCCCCCTTACACAGGATCCACGGCAGCGTGTCCACCTTGAAGTGCAGCTCAGGTGAGAAGTCAGTGCTGACAAGGTCGGGCGCTCCGGCGCCCTTGCCGCGGGTCAGTAGTCGGCTGCCCTCGTCATAGCAGCAGTGCTGGGCGGCCAGCGTGCTGCTCTCCACCGACAGCAGAGAGCGCAGGCAGAAGCGTGCTGTGGGCTGGTAAATGTCCAGGTGCTCCTGAGGGCCACTGGCATCCCTCCACTGGAAGCTGAGGCCCTGGCGCTCATCCTGCAGGCTCACAGCACTATACACGGCCTCCAGCAGGTACGCACAAGGGCAGCTGGGCAGGTCCCGCAGCACCTGGCTCAGGTACTTGGCTAAGAAGTCACTTTTGCAGTTCAGCCACTTCTCACAGCTGTCCACATCTGCAGAGGGCAGGGAAGTGCAGGAGGGGAGCCGGTCAGGGAGCTGGCCAGCCCTATGGTGGGGTGGGGGCCGACCAAGGGCCAGTGCTTGGGGAGAGAAGGCCCAGGCCCCAGCTGGTGCAAAGGTGTGGCTTGGTAGGGCCTTAAGGGCAGGCGTGGAAGGACCCGTACCAAACTGGGGCAGATGAAACCTACCCCACACCACCCAGGCAACCCGAGGCAAGAACTGTCACTCAGAATGGACACGGCCAAGGGGCTGGAGCGGTGACCTGGAGGCCCTCTGCTGTGCCAGGTGTCATCTCTTTAGGCGCTGAATGGTGGGAAAGAGCTGGGGTGGGTGGGACAGGTTCAGCAGTTTTTAGCCAACTGGTGAGAGAGTGTTTCAATATTTTAACCACTGACCCTTTCGTGTTCTTGCTTTTCTTTGCCTTTCTCAAGCCATATGACCCCGGGCAAGTCACTCTGCCGCTCAGGGCCTCCTGCAGCTCTCTCTGTCTATGCTGCCCTCCTCTCCCTTCTCTGTACCTTGAGAAATGTGATTTCCCTGATTCTGGCCACAAAGAAACCAAATTGCTCTTTCCTCTCTGCTCCCAGACCTCTTTGCAGTTCAGCGCTCTTGTGGGTTATGTGTGAGAAAAGCTCATCTGGGACAGGTGCCAGACCTCAGTCCCCAGGGAATCCCCCACCCCAGCACACTGCCAGGTGTGTGATACAGGCTCTGCAGGCATCCACTGTGCTGAGCACAAGCCTCGTGGGGAAACCAGCAGCGCCTGCCTTCCTTGCAGGGTGCAAGTGAGACCAAGAGGCACGGGCTCGGAGTGTGCCGGCGGAAGCGCGGCCCGCTCCCAGCTGCCTGCAAGGAGCAGTGCTGAGTTCTGGCCCTGACTCATTTCTGACAGCATCACATTCCCCTCCCCAGGCGAAGAGTGAACAAGGAGTGGAAGTCAGAGTGTCCCCACCCCATCCTCCTGCCAGAGAGGATGTGTCCCACCGGATGATCTCTAAGCTCTGTGGCTCCCATCGAGACCTTATTCCCAGTAGGAGTATCAGGCTGGGAAAGGCCACTGGGCCTGGCTCAGAAATACTGGGGCTCCCGGCTGGAAGCTGTAATCTCTGCCACAATGCTCCACCCTCCCGAGAGAGGTTCTCCCCCAAACCCCCAGGGGCAAGGCAGGTACTCTTCCCGCTTCGCCACAGCGAGGGCGGAGCCTGCCCTGGGACCCACAGAGGAACCCCACTGTCCAAGGGAAACAGGAAGGGGGGCCTGAGCTGTTCAGTCCAGCTCCTCTCCAGGTGTCCACTGGGCTGATGGCCTTTCTGTCACTCTTACTTGGATATTGGGGTTCGGGGCACTGAAGTCTGCACTGGCCAATCCCAGCAGCTTCTGAAGCTCCAGCAGTAAAGGAGTATTCTTCCGGGAGAGGTGGCCCTGCCTAGACTCAGGGCTGCCAGCTGAGTGAGAGTCCGGTGCCTGTGTCCGCGTGGCCCTGCCTGCAGGAGGGTTTTGGGGAGCAGCGGTGGCTCCTCCTCTTCCCTGGTAGAGCTGGGATCTGGGGAGGCTGAGGCCTGAGGGAGAGAGAGAAGGAGGGGGAGATGACTGAGGTCAGGGCTGTGGACCCGGAAAAGGCTGGCAGGGGGTACTCAGGAGCCTTGGGGTCTGACCTCTCAGGGGTGCGTATATGGAATGTAAAACCTAAACGCTGCCTGCTTCAATGCCCTCAGCAGGTAAGTGGAGGTGTAGCTGGTCAGATGGTGGACTGTGTCCACAAAGAGCTTTGACAGCTGGCACCAACATGAGTCATGAAAAGGATTAACGCAACCCAAGCGCTTCATTTTACAGATGAAGAAATGGAAGCCCAAGAAGGGAAGAGAGTTGGTTAAGCAGTGGTTCCACAGTGATCTGATAGCCAGAGCAGGAAGGGCCCCCAGGGTGGGCCTGGTGCTACATGACAGTGGGCAGCAGGCCTAGGCCCCCTTCCCCTCAGCACGCTCTCTGTCTACCTGGCCCTGCCCTTGCCGTCCATGTAGGGGGTGTGTTCCTTGGCATCTCTGACTGCGGTTCCCTTCCTCCACCTGCCCACCTGGGACCGGGCCCCTTTTCCTACACCAGGCTGCTTTGTGGCTGGCTGTCAGCCAGTCCAGCCCCCGTCAGCTACTGGCCATGTGCCCTCACCAGGACAGCCCTGGCTTCCGCTCAGACAGAGGTGAAAGGCAGACCCTGGTCTCAGACTCCTGCTCTAGCGTTCATCTGCCCAGACGGGGCGGGGGGGGGGGATGGGGCTCAGCGGCTGCCACCCACCTCCAGGCTGCAGCCGTCGCCCAGGCCTCTGCGCCAGGGCAGGAGCACCTGCCAGGGCCACCAAGGAGTCTCGGGGGCCTGGTGCCTGAGGACCCTGCCTCGCTCAGGCCACAGCCTCGACTCCCTCCCATCCCACACTGGGCGGTGTGGTGTGGCTGAAAAGCAGTGGCTCTGGAGAGTCAGAGAAGCTTGAGTTCAAATCCCAGCTCTGCCTCCTACTAACTCCTCAAGTTGACAATTTCGTCTTCTGCAGAGTGAGGATAATAATTCCTCCCTAAAAGGACTGTCAGAATTTTATTTATCAAACATTTCCACAACATTTATTGGGTGCCAGGCACCATGCTAAACACTTATTCACTCATTTCTTCCTCCCAGCAAACCTCAGAGGTAGGTGCTGTCATCCCGTTTTATAGACAATGGAAACTAAGGCACAGAGAGGGCTGGTAACTTGCCCGAGCTTGCACAGACATTTAGTGGCAAAGGCAGGAGTCCTGGCCCAGAGCCCATACTCTTAACCATCGTGCTGTAAGGTGAGAGTCCCCTTCTCAAATTACGGGCTTAATCAGTCTAGTTTCTCACTCTCTCTGACTCTTTCCTTGGAAATTTGGAAAAAAAGACTCCGAATCTTCTATCTCTCCCCCTGTGACCTCCCTTCCTGTGGTCCCCAGATGCCTGGCTCTAAGGCTCCTGCGCTAAACGCCTGGTCCCAGCGCAGCTGTGGGCCTGTCTCAACCTGGGCCAGGCGTCTCTTGCTGAGTCAAAGCACTCTGGTCGAGACAGCAAGGCTGGATGAATAGAGGATGCAAGGTGAGTAGCGGACAACCCGGCCCCTTCGCCCACCAGTCCTGGAGGCCTGGACTAGCCCCAAGTGCTGCCTTCCTGACAGCTCCCACCCACCCTTCCACCAAAGCCCTAACTGTTCCTGTGACTTTGCTCAGTGGTTCCACTCTGTCTGTGGCCTCTGGGGCATAAACAGGCAGTCTCCAGGTGGCAGGACTTCAGGGTTGCACAGCCTTTTGGCTGGTATGGAGGCCCTAGCCTGGTGGCACCTGGGCCTGCCTGTGGCAGGTGGTGCAGTGGTTCTCATCTGGCGACATCTGGCAGTGTCTGGAGACATTTGTGGTTGTCACAAGTAGAGGGGGTTTCTATTGGCATCTAGTAGGTAGAGGCCAGGAATGCAGCTATGTATCCTACAATGCATAGACTGCCCCACAAGAATTGCCCAGCCCAGAACCATAACAGTGCTGTAGTTAAGAAATCCTGCCCTATGTGGTGGCTCACACCTGTAGTCCTAGCACTCTGGGAGGCTGAGGCGGGAGGATTGCTTGAGGTCAGGAGTTCGAGACCAGCCTGAGCAAGAGTGAGACCCCGTCTCTACTAAAAATAGAAAGAAATTAATTGGACAACTAAAAATATATAGAAAAAATTAGCTGGGCATGGTGGCACATGCCTGTAGTCCCAGCTACTCAGGAGGCTGAGGCAGGAGGATCGCTTGAGCCCCAGGAGTTTGAGGTTGCTGTGAGCTAGGCTGATGCAACAGCACTCTAGCCAGGGCAACAGAGTGAGACTCTATCTCAAAAAAAAAAAGAAAGGAAAAATAAAAAAAGAAACTCTGCCCCTGCCCTAGAGTTGGGCTGCCTGGGTCTGAATTCTGCTGGCGGCCTAACTTCTGACCTGTGGGGCCCTGGCAGGGGACATGACCTCTGTGAGCTTCCTCATCTGTAGAATGGGAACAATGACAGGAATGAGTCTCACACAGGTCCTGCTGTCAAGCAGGTGCTCAGAATGTTCGTTTCCAGCCCTCCCGACCCTCTCCTCTCCCTGGTGCCCGGTCAACTCTGCCAACCTACTTGCCTAGGGTAGGGTAAAGAGGAGCTGGGGACTTGGTGCCACAAGAGGGTGGAGGGGGTTAGAATTAGGCAAGAGAGAAGAACTGAGAGAGGACGGCACTTCCAGGCTATGAGGACTGTCCCACATCGAGGGTCCCCACATGGGGCAGAATGGGGGAGGCCCTCGGGGAGGACCAGGTTGCCATGGAAGGAGGCACTGGCTGGGGGGATGGGCTGAGAGAGAAGAACTGAGGATGGAGGAGGAAGCTGGGGCTCTGAGCAGCCTGGGGCAGTGTCACACACATGGCAGGGCTGCTTTCATTGGCACTTCAGTCCTGGTCCATTGCCCAGCCAGTTGCCTAGGAACAAGGCCTCGGTTACAGGAGAGATGTGGTTGGTGGGTTGAAAGGTCTCACCTGCCAGGTACCAAGAAGCATGGATTTTCCTGAAGGTTGGCTTCCTTTGGTTGTGGGGTCTTTCTAGCCCAATCCGTGATGGGGAACTAGAGCCCAAGTCTGTGTGATGCGAAGCCTGCGGCCTTGCCCGTCAGCCTTCTGCAGCTGGCTACCTCCCTGAGCTGTGACCTTCCTCCTCTCTGCAGACCATTCTCTCTCTTGGGGTTAGAAACACAGGGGAGCTGGCAGAGGGAGAGAAGGAAGGACAGGAATGGGGCCCGGACCCTGGCTGCTCAGGGGCCTCCGGCACGTCTCCAGACTCTCCGGATCTCAGTCTCAGATTGTTACAAGGATGAGAGGAAGAGGGATGTGAAAAGTAGAACATCTTGTTTGGTGTTTTGTTCATTCAGCACATTCAACAGCACAGAGAGTAGCAGGCAGCAAACCAGAAGGTGCAGCCCCTGCCTGGAATTAGCAGAGCACAGACTCTCCAGCCAGACCATCTGCCTCAAATCCCGCTCTGCCAGCCCCAGGCTGTGTGACTCTAAGCAAGTTACTTCACCTCTCTGATGCTTGGCTGCATTGTCTGAAATGAGGATGATGCTAGTACCTGCCCAAAGAGTTGTTGTGAAGGTTCAATGAGGCAATACATATAGGGGGCTTGGCAGGACTGACTGTATTGTTTGTGGGGTTCAGTGCAAAATGAAAAGTGGGGCCTCTTAAGTATTTCAAGATGGCAACAACAGAGTGTTAAACTATACATGGGGCCCTGTGTAAATACACAGGTTGCACATGGTAAAGCTGGTCTGTTCTGAGAATAGTGTACTCTTGTCATGATGAGGAGCTTTGAGGTCTCCACTGGGTGCCAAGGTGGATTGCATTAGAATGGTATGTACCTAGTCCCAGGTACTCAGGGAGGTCGAGGTAGGATTGCTTTAACAAGCAAGCCCCTGGGACCAGAACTCCAAGCCCTGGTCTCAAAGCTCTGCTTTTTCCTCAAGGCACTAATTTGCTCTAACATGTTTTTGAGGACTCTGCCAGGCCCTGTACTGGGGCTGAGGATAGGACTTTGGCTCTGAAATAACTCATCTTCTAGGCTGTTCTTGTTGGGGAAGATTTAGCAAACATACTAAAAATAATTACAATACAAAGCGGTAAGTACTAAAATAGAAAGGATTTATGCCAAGTGAGCAGAAACAATGCCAATTTAACTAATTTTATTACCACTGTCATCTCTACCTAGGAGGAGGAACTGGCCAGAGGCCTCTGAATTTGTCTACAGCAGTGGTTCTCAACAACCGGCAGGGGGCCTGGGGTGTCCCTCCGGAAACATTTGGCAATGTCTACCCCTGTCTGGAAGGAGGGTGCTACAGGCACCTAGTGGGTGGGGCCAGGGATGCTGCTAAACATGCTACAATACACAGGATGCAGTCCCCCCCCACACTGAATTATATGGCCCCAAATGACCCAAGTGCTGAGGCTGAGAAACCCTGGTCTACAGGAGGCATTCTCAACAGGGGAGAAAGTTGGATTGGGGGAGGAGGAGGGGGAGGGGGACGGAGGG